CACACACACACACTGCCTGATCCCTACATCCATACACACACACACACACACTGCCTGATCCCTACATCCATACTCACATACTGCCTAATACCTAAATCCATACAGGGCTGTTTGAAGGAATTTGGGGGCCCCAAGCAAAATGGACATGGAGGCACCCCCTCCACCCCCCTGCACGCACGCAAAGCCTACAGGAACCACAGCATAGCCATACAGTTTACGTTTACCCACACTTTAAATAAATAAAAAAGTTTACAGTGCAAATACTGCTGTTGCATATAATGTGCATAAAATTTTAACATTTTCAACAATTGAGCATTTGCAAAAAACACCACTGTACTATAAAATCAAATATACATTAAAACAGTGCACAATAACTAAATCCAACATACTTAAAACACACACACATACACACTCAAATTAACATTTTTTAGTTCTCACAAACATGTGCAAATGATCTAAAACTGCTGTTTGCGAGCCTTGTTTTCTGCAAAGGCAATCACAGTGTCCTCCATGTCAAAAGACTGGTGAACATCCCGCTCAATTGACGTAAGTGCCAGTCCTGTGAGCCTTTCTTGGCCCATGGTGGACCTCATGTAATTTTTTATCAGCTTCAAATCTGAAAAGCTCCTCTCACAAGAGGCCACTGACACAGGGAGAGTCAGGAGTAGACGCAAAACAATGCTTAAATTACTGTACAAATCCAGTAGCTTCTCACTGTGTATGGAATTAAGCATGTCAAATGGGGAAGTGGCTACATGGTGAATTGATCTCAAGATGAATTGATCTCAAGTGCCAAGTCATCAGCATCAATGTCATGGAGGGTTTGTTCCAATTTTTTGCATCGTTCATGAAGCTTTCCATTCTTTATTGTCTGCTTCATGTTGTCCTTTGAGAACAGAAAGTCATAAAGGTCATAAACACCCTTCAATCGTGAAAACCTGTCACTTAGGCTTCTGAGGGCTGTGTCAACCATGGGCAGAAAGAAGTCTCTTCTGAAAGTCTCGTCTGGAGTAGACTGAGTGTCCTCTGTACCTTCATATAGAGACTGTCTTTTCTTTTTACACTGCCTTTTCTCAGGAAGGGTCATTTTCATATCCAGATTTTCTGCAATGTCCTTTGCATCAGTTTGACAGGAAGCAATCCCATTTTCCCTGAAGTCTTCAAGGTAGTCTTTTACTCCTTCTGTTGCTGATCTAAGTGTTTCCATGGAAATATTTGGACTTTGTAGCAGCTTGCTGACATGATTGATCTGGTACAAACCATTGTACCAGGTCATTGTGCAAAGCAGAAAAGACCAGGTCTTCAAATAATGTTTTTATTAATATAATCCATCTGTTCAGGTACAGAATGTATCACTGAGTGTCTGACACCTAGAAATTTGACAGGCACTATTGTATATTAAAAATTCTGAAATGTCCATGGGCAAAAGTGACTGGTGGTATTTACACAGTTTGGTGGGAATTCAATAGTGATTTGCACTGTTTTTTTTCTAACAATATGACATCACATCAGTTTAAACTCTGGGCTGTGCAGGATATCAGCTTTAATTATAGAGCTTGAGGTACCTTGTGCTAT